TCAGTCGTACTAATGATGCTGATAAAAACCAAATTGTATTCTTAGTAACGTATACCCCGTTTGATGTTCATAGATACTTTGTCAATCTTAGTGAAAATTCTCTTAACTTTCTTCCATTCCTTCTTCCATGTTTCGTGTTCTGAATCACTAGAAAATATGTAGAACAAGTCGATTTAGGGCAAATTTTCAATGAGAGGCACTACTTGTTGACCAACACCATTTTTTATACGATCATAAATATTTTTCTTCTAGCAACATCTGTGATAAAATCAACACATTTATCAGCCTTAATGAATACATTAATCGAATTTATAGTGCTGCCAAGTTTAGAGATTGAATTCTGACAGTCAGTATTCAACTTATTGACATTTGGTTCTAATCAGATGAGAATACAATTCTGGGCGGGGCGAGATTGTTTCGTATTTGAAAAATAAATATCGAATGTATATATTTCCGTGCTTGGCTGTGAACATTTGTGACCGATATCACCGATGGAACTGCTTAGCATTGGTTCGTTGTTAACTTCTAACAAATATAAGTTACAGAACAGTACAAGTACGGCTATGAATTGTAGTTCGGAAACAAAATCAACACCGAAAATCTAGAATGTGCATGCATGTGAAACTTGAAAATTGAATTTCATTAAAGTTTCAAATTTCGAGTTGGGTGTGGGTGTAGGGTGTGGATAAAGACAAAATTATCACCACTTCCACACCCTCTATTTTTGACTCTTACTTATCTTCCAGAAAATGCTTAAGGTTAAAAATTATCGAGAAATATTTTCTGTTTTATTCAAAAGTTATTAATTTAGGATATTTTGAAAGATTGCTTGGATAATCAAGTACAAACAATTTTTGACATTCCATATTTCAATCATGATTTTTGGCCGATCATTATTGAAGAAAGCATTGAAAGTGTTTTGTTATTGATAGTAAATATCAAATTTTATTTAATTACACTTCAAAACTTGACCAAGAAAATCGAAGAAAACAAAAAGATGAAGCAACACAAGCTAAAGAAGATGAAGACTTCGATAATTCTATTGAACCAGAAGATCCATCAGAAGTCAGTAGATATTGTATAATCTATTTAGTAACCACAGTTGAGATTGTAAAAACAAGCATATAGATTAAAATCATTTAATGATATGAATGGTTTATTCTATCGGATGAATCTATCTCTATAGTTGAATTTTAATAGTCACCATTGAAATCTTGATTTTAACTACAATATAAATATTTGCCTTTTATTTTAATTCAGATTTCTGGTAAACATATATCTGCGAGTACATATGAAAAGAAAATTTTGAAGAAAACGACGAATCAACAAGAACCAGCAAAAAATCAAATGCCAAATTGTACTGATTTACTATCTATGATATTCTCAATTATGGAAAAATATAAAGACGTAAATCATAATAATAAAAGAAATTGTTAAAGATGATTTTTGCCCATTCTAAATTTAATTTGAATGTAATCAAGGATTTCTATTACTTCTATACATCGCTTTATGAGATAATGCCTAGTGGCATATATGTTAGCGCAATCTTATATCTCATACTAACTGTAGGTCTGGGCAGAAGATCATCTAGATACAAGAGTTCTTCAGTTTCGGATATCCACTAACTAACTATAACCATCCTATCCAAAACGATTAAACTGACTTTGATTACCCTTTGTTTTCCAGAAATTTCGATACTTGCAACTTGCATCTAAATAATTCTTTAGGCATTCTTTGTTATTCGTCTTCATAATTAAATAACATTGTATCCAGCAATCAATGGTACTGATACTCTAATTCAATATGATCTAACGAATACGCGAAATACATTTAAAAATTTTGCTGGTGACAAGAATTATGATTTTTCTTCATTACGGGTAATATTTGGCATGATTGTGCAGTATGGGAAGATTTTGATCAATGTGAAAAAGTTTATAATTTGGAACTAAAACATAATGAAGAATACAATTTATTAAATAGTAATGATAAGTCCATAGCAAGTACACAGTTACAACGATTAAAATCAATGCAACGTTCTATAGATGCTTTGTTACATGTGCAACATACAAAAAATTGTAAAGATACAAATCATCAATGTAATATATGTAAAGAAGTTATTTTTCTTGGCTGATACCATGCTAAAAGTTGCATGAATCAAAATTGTCAAGAGCCATATTGTACAAATTTAAAATCTATAATAGAAAAACAGTGGGCAACTAGTTTACAAGCAGATTGACTTCTTATGGAAGCTATGATGATACAACAAAAAATAAATATTATGTTAACATAAACACAAAGTAAATGAATTGTATTATAGACTTTTTTCTGGGTAAAGTCTCGTTCGTTCTATATTGATTATATTTATGTAAATATGATTTTTGAGCGTTAAACAAATAAGATAAGTCAAGAATATACACAGCATAATTGTATGATATTTTATTTATTTTAATGGCTAACATAATTACAGAACGATCTAAAAGTAGTGAATCATGTAATCATTATCTAGGTACATATTTCGTTTTTCGGTCATAGTGGGTGTGAATGTGTGGGTATGGATATCAGAAACAAGTACACCCACACCGAAAAAATTACATGAGTAAAGCAAAAAATTTGTTATATGTTTTCGTGAATACCAAAATGCAAACTGTTCGAATGCTATAAATTATTTCAATTAAAAGTGTGGGCTGTCCATTATTGGTTTTACACGAGTAGTCCTGGTTTGTAAGCTATGATTTACTTGCTGAAATCTCTCAGAAATAAATTTTTGACGCTTGGGTGTTATCCAGAATAGAATGACGAGCATCAAGAGTACTGATGCAGCCATAATGAGACAAAAACCGATAAGGTAAAATTTCGATTCGAATCGCCGCAAGTATCATAGCAATACGTGCTGACAGGACGAGAAAAAGTAGTGCAAAATGAAGCATTATGATACGACGAACAATTGCCATGTCTCGGTTCATTTTTTGTTGTTGACTGCCAGTAACCCTTGTTGAAGCCTTGCGTACATAATTTACTAAACTTCCATAGAGAAAAATCATAATAATATCCGATAAAAAAAAATATTAATGCACCGATAGAAAAGAGTAAATCAGATCTGAAAAACGAGATCAAACATACACTGTCTACAGGAATTTTTGTTATATAGCCTGTTAAAAACATAGGCAAAACAAAAGTAAAATCAAATATCCACTGACCGAGTACAAGACATATTTTTCGAGTTGTACTATCGAGTAGTCCAATCCTCGTAATATTACAATACTTTTGCACTGCTTGTAAAACAAGTGAATGATGGATACAAGCAACTGCAGAATGATGAATATAACCGCGTAATGAGCAAAGTGAATAAAAGTCTGAAACTTGCTGTTGGTCCCAGAGAAACATGTAGACAGCTATCGACAGAGCGTTACCAGCAAATACTAATGCGCCTACAATAGTGTTACAAGCTAATAATGTTGGAAAATCAAAGCATCGGTGACGATCAACGAGTGCAATTGAGAGCAAGAGCAAAGCCGCAAGAACAGTCAAACAGCAGACGCATATGTAGATGAAGTTGATGATAGTGAGAAAATCCATCTCTCTACCAACCTAAAATGTCTTCATACATTATATTCAAACATAGAGAATACCTTTTATCGAATGATACAGAGAGAATGGTTCAAATGAAATTCTTTCAGAACCGACAATAATCATTAGGACTGCTTCTGTACGTATGCTTTCGCTTAATCCATATGGCACTGGAGGGATGGCTACCGATAGTAGGAAAATATGTAAGTAAACACATGAATCTGCCCTTGGCATAGCATAGTCGAAGGTTTTTTTGCAAGAATGAGTAAAGGCTTTCTTGCTCTTATGTCTATGATCAATGTGCATAAAGTAGCAGAATTAACAGTAATTCAATAATAACAAGTATTGATTAAAAAAAAGTTTAATAAGGAATAATGCGCATTGTTTTTGTGTTTGAACTCCGTTCACATACGTTATTACAAATATATATTGTAACTATGCTAATCGAATCCCAACATAACCCAGTAAATATGGTCATTAATTGGTTGTGGTAGAAAAAGTCATATGAGAAATATCAATACATATCTTCTGAAAAAGTTTCGAATTCTCAAATTATTTTTTCAAAATACCAGCAATATAGAAATATAATGAAAAGTAATTATAATACATTTTCAAACATCTGATTATAATGTCGTGGATCTCTGTTCTATATGCTTAGAACTATGGAATGAGCAGTGTTACTCATGTTATGAGAAAAAACTGACCTTCACGGGACTCGAATCCATATATTCTTCTATCTGAACAGATGTTCTAAGCCAATTAGACTAGAAAGAATATCCTAACGTTGGTTTAGTGTCAGAGCGTGTATCATCACTAACATTTATATCGGGTGTCCCAGGAATAATGAGCCTCCCAGTATTTTTAAGATTTCCTGTCTATTATCACTGTAAGTAAAGCTGTCTTAATTATCAAAAGAAAGCGCTTAAAATTCTCTACAAAACCNCACCATCCTTTATATTGTTTTTTCCCTATCTGTGAAAAAGTAAAATTTTCTTGTTGAGGTCAATAGTGATACTTTGCAAAGGTTCCCACTAACCTTGTCCGTATGGATTTGAAATGTGAACATGCCTCTATCCTTGGTAAAAAAATGAGCCCGTTTGGTCGAGTTGTAATGAAGATATTCAACTTTTTCTTTGTGGAGTTACTTACTGGACACCCTATATAACAATATAGGACGAATGTATAATTCAATGAATAATTACTTAAACACCATGTCATATTATAAAAAGGCACTTCAAATACAGCAAGCAGTTCTTCCATTTTATCATCCATTATTAGCAATAACGTACAATGATATCGACCAAGCACATGCCGCTAGGAATCAGTACTCATTTTCGCTCCAATACTTCTAAGATGTATTTAAAATTCAGAAGAATGCTGCCCTTTCTTCGAATCATCCTTCATTGACTGAAACATATAGTAATGTTGGAGAAATGTATCGACTAACAGGAAATTACTTAGTTGCACAACAATATTATGATAAGACGCTTAAACTTGAAGAAGAAGTACTTCCGCCAAATCATTCATTACTTGCTATGAATTATTACAACGTGGCTACAATATTGGAAGGACTTTATCAATACGAAGAGGCTGTTACACGTATATCGCAAGAAGTTACTATTATTTCTCATAGCATTGAACCTAATTATTCACAAGCGGAAAAATGTCAAGAATATCTCAATGAACTCTTAGCTATAAGCAGTGATGAAAACTGTATAGGAAAATAGCTAGGTAACAGTAAGTCTATATTATCTTTTAAAACCAAACAATCAACTTTCTCTGTGGGCGTACCTATTCTGTTCTTCTTGTTCTTATCTCATTAGAAGAATTTCAAGTATATTCCATATTACAGAACATTAACAATGGTTGTCCCATGCCTCCAATTCAGACAGACAAGTGCATTGATAAATTACAGTCAGACTAACAAATAAGCGATCTTGTGTTCGAAATTTCATCTGTTTCTACCGATGACGGGAGACAGTATGCTCGAATTTGTCTCATTTCTTGATAATATTAAATCTATCTGTTTATTGGAAAAATCACCGGAAACAAAAAAAAACGCAACAGAATGAGTTTTTTAATTATTTTGACTAAGTATATATATTCTAAGAGGATGAAGAGCAGCTTGCTGTTCAATGGGTATTGGATACGGCTAGTAATGGGCACATATCTGGCAAGCAGTGTAGTGAGTATAAACCTTTACGGTCGTCTTAGCAAGTTCATCAAGGGGAAAAAGTAGACTTCTGTATTTGAATATTTCTTTGCACTTGTGCATATTTCCCTATACTTCTGGCACTTCTTCGTACTTCTCGAAACTTCTTTTATACTTCTCCATACTTTCTCGTACTTTGTACTTCGTCACACCTCTCCATATTTCTTGATATGTACAGAGTGTAGCAAAACTATTGCACCCGGCTCTACAACTTAAAGTATTAATGATATCGCAAAGTATTTTATACCAAACTAATGCTCATCAAAAACTGGATTTATCAGTGTAATTAGAGCAATTATTGCTTTCGTACTTTACGATTTTCATTCTTCATGTACATATTTTCACAAAAAATAATAGCAAATTCATAATCTCCATCAAAAATTGAATCCATAGACATGTCATTTGTATATTTTTGACGAAAAAGTTTTTTTTTTGAACTGAAATATCTCGATTTATATCACTGTACACAGTTTTTGACGGAGGTCACGAATTTGATATTACTTTTGTTGAAAAATGTAATAGAAAAAGCAAAAATTGCAATATACGAGCCGGTTTGGGCATAACAATGTCATAGGTTTTACAATATGGAATCTATAAAAGAACTATCATGCTGTCTCACCAGCTTAAATTGTAAATGATAGAGTTTCCAATTTATTAGAAATATAAACTTCTATGAAAAAATTTCAAAACGTTGTATGACCTCCTTCAACAGTTTTGAGAGTATCAAATATTTTTCTCATTGATTCAGTTCAAAAACATTTTTGAAATTTTTGTCTGGGATACCTCCCAGAATTTATTCAAAAAACGTTTTTTTCGTCAAAAATATACAAATGACATGTCTATGGATTCAATTTTTGATGGAGATTACGCATTTGCTATTATTTTTTGTGAAAATATGTACATGAAGAATGAAAATCGTAAAGTACGAGAGCAATAATTGCTCTAATTACACTCATAAATCCAGTTTTTGATGAGCATTAGTTTGGTATAAAATACTTTGTGATGCCATTTATACTTTAAGTTGTAGAGCCGGGAGTAATGGTTTTGTTACATTCTTTAAAAGAAATAAATTTTGAATTGTTAGCCAGCGAAGATTTGCTTGATCTATTCGAATATTCCACTGTCGTTTATCTTTTGCGTGTCTTTCATAGTCTTAATTCTTGCTTTGACACTTTATTCTTCGATTTTTTTCGATTCCATGGTGAAACTTCGATCAATATTGAAGAATAATTTTGGCATTTTCTGTTGACAATACCTTCCGTCGATTATCGACCAAATTACTTCATTGTGTCTGTTAGATGATGATGATACTCCGCATCAAACGGATGATCTTCTTACTTATTATTTCATTCTTCGTCGATTTACTCATTTACGATCACTTTCATTGTGTATGATGCTTGTTCTGAAAAAGCTGTAAACAAATTCATTTTGGGATTATTCCATTTACTTGATTTAACTTTTGTCGAATATACATTTCATTATTGTGACACAGATGCTCTCGTCTTCGTCAATGCTGTTTGGAGTTTACTGAAACGCATTCATTGTTACATTGACATGAGCTATTTTGCTGCACCAACAGTCGTCTCATCATCTCTTGAATACCTCTCTATTCGACGTTACATCCATTCTTTTGACGATATGAATATCTTATTTCAGTATACGCCAAATATTCATTCTCTCTGCACAACTTTAAAATGTGATTTTATCGATAAAAATCAATCATTATCTATTACATCCATAAATACATTGAATATATTATTTTTTGGATTGGAGAAAAATATGGCAGAATATATTTTTCAAAAGATGCCGAATTTGTGTCAATTGACAGTTTGTACATCAATCAACTATATAAACGAGCAAACATGGGAACAACTTATTCGAAATTATTTACTCAAACTTAAAGTATTTTGATTTGTAACAAACATCAATAAGAAAGAGAAAATCGATGAAATACTCAAATCATTTAGAAGTTTATTGTGGCTCGATGAACATCGTTGGCTTGTTCGAGTACTTTGGAATTTACACAACAACACTCATCTGCACACATTACCATATGCTTTTCACGATTTGGATTTTAATTGTTCTTTCTTATCAAAATGAAACTTATGCTAATAATGACAACAATTACTGGTCCTATTATTGGGTACATAGACTGACATTACGATGTTCACTAGACGAAAATTCTATCTTATCTAATATTCGCTTTTACAAGATTCATCATCTTCACCTTGAATTCCCTGTCCACGATCATTTTTGATCAATCATCCCAAATTTTACTAAATTAAGCACTTCATCTCTATTTATTGACATTCAATCAAAAGCCTCCACTATCCTTGCCAAAATCATTATTTGAATTGATAAGTATTTTAGTAGGCAAAACGGATTTGCAGTGCAATTTAAATCTAGTGTATGATAACGAACAATGTGCAGCAATGAGTCATTCACCATTAGCCAGGCAATGCGAAGTATTTTTGATAGAGTTTGAAATCGAAGATGTATACTTGATCTTGTTCATACAATGACTCATCTTAGAGCTTTACAAATCCGATGTCACGATGATACGATGATACGATGATACAGCAATTAGACACAACAAAAGATGAACTGATCGAATGGTTGAGAGATTAACTACCATCGTCATATAGCGTTACCAGAAATGCTAATTACTGCATGAACATTCGACTATGGATTCGTTGAAAAACGTTTGCCAGCAAAGTCTCTAATGAGGGTAAAATATGAAACTCACATAAACTCTCACGTTCTACACTATACAAGGGATATTCTACGGGTATAAAAAGGCTCTGTATAAAACTCGAATCTCGTTTTGTTTGTTCATTTAATTTAGATATCTTCTACATTTTTGTATCTATTTATATCCATTGCTCAGTATCACGATTCTATACACAGAGATAAAGAATACAACGAGAACCGTAATTGAAAGCAGTAAATGAGCATTGATTTGTTCGTAAGTGATCATATTTCTGCATATACGATCCAGAAATTTACGATTGCAATACTAAGAGCCATACAGCTAAAGCACCGTATTTCTCCATTTACGATCGTCTACAAGCGTGCTTTTTACATGAGTGCATATCTAATACTTCTTTCAATTCCTATGATATAAGTCAAGTTGTACAAGCTGCAACAAAGGGGCAGATAAAAGATTGAACACTGACAGTTGCAGTGGATGATCAAGGGAAAGTGTCATGTAAACAAAAAAGTCTTGGTGCAACTGAATGCAAACAAAAACAACAGTTCTTGTGGATGTGGAGTGTGCTTGTGGGAGTTTGTTGATGTGAGTGCCTAATTTGTCACTGACACTCATGCCCGTCCACTTACACCCATACTTACGCATTTTACACAGCCACACTCCACAATCATTCACCCACACCCACACTCCACAACCATCCACCCACACCCACACCCCCTCAGCTCCACTAACCATGAATAAACTTAATGCTATTTGGACTTCAATTGGCTGTTAATGATAAGAAGTAGATTTCATATGCATCCCATCGAAGAACTTTCAGTCCAAATCTACAGGGTATCTGAAAAATAGCTTTCTATTTTAAACTCTTTATTATTCACAAACAACAAAAGATAGCGTAACTATCTTTTCACTGTTTTGAAGCATGTGCCATGGCATTTTGTTGAAGATGAAACAAACTGATTGATCGTTTGACGATCTAAGATCAAGCACGAATTTCCTCTACAGAATATCTGAAAATAACTCATTGTTTTGAAAAGTTTATTATTGTTAAATGAGAACAGATACTATAACAACTACAGAAGTGTATGAACAACGGGGATTCCTAGGCAGAAATTTGAGACATTATATGTTATAGTATTACGTACATCTGAAAATAGTAAAAAAGTTGTTATAGTATCTGTTCTCATTTAATAATAATAAACTTCTCAAAATAATATGTTATTTTCAGATATTCTCTGGACGAAATTCGTTCTTGATCTTGAACAGTCAAACGATCAATAGTCTTGTTTCGTCTATAATACAATACAATGACTTATGCTTTAAAACAGTGAAAAATCGTTACGATATCTTTTGTTGTTTGAGAGTAATAAAGAATTTAACATAGGGAGCTACTTTTCAGACACCCTTTAGATTATCTTGATGTATATAAATATAGATGTCAGTCTTCGATACAAATTGATTCACGCCTACTTCTGACTACAGCAGAGAAACACTTGAGAGGTATAGAAGAGAGAAAAATGTCTTCACTCTTGTGTCCCTTGACAAACTAAAAACAAAGCACATGAGAAAACGACTAAGAAACAATCAGTATTTACCTACTTCTCATGTAAAAAAATGAGGATTAAAATCAGATGAAAATCGATTATAATCATATGCTTTTAATCCATATTGAACCACTTTTTAACTGATTTTAATCAGAGATCACTGAAAAAAAATCGAAATATCATCAATTATTAAGATTAAATTCGATTATAATCAACCAAAACTTGATAAAAAAAATTGATTATAGTTGATGCAAAGCGATG